CTGCTACTTAGACATCCACAGAATCTTCAGACACAATAAAAACCTGAGGGGAAAAATAATTCACCCTCTTTTAGCGATTCATCTCTGAAAATCACCACGAGCTTCATCTCTTTCACCGATACAGAAGAAATGCAGCATATAAGCAGTCTGTGCTTTGCTTAATAAGCATGTGTGACACTTCAGAAGTTAGTTAGAAAAACACAGGCACCTACATACATGGGAAGCTGCAAAGAAAATACTTCAAATGAGAAGCTGCAAGCTTAGCAAGAATTAACTGGAGAATTACCTGGAAACATCTAATCAGGGATGCAGAACCCTGCAACACTATGATTTATTTAACATAGTCAAACAATGTCCACAGGCAATGCATCAAGCAGGAAATGACAAAGCTGCAGGAGATTTCCGTCATCTAGTTTAACCTGCATGTTGATCAGAATTTACCTTCATATTAATCACCTGAGAACGCAGGCTAACACTCTCTTAAACACCTCTCATGATTATGCTTCACTTAACTCCTTGTCCTTATGCAGGTCACTCCATTGCTAATTGCACTTCTAGTTAGAAGAAAAAGTGTCTACTGTCTAATTTAATTTTGTCTTTTTTAGTTTCAAGCCGTTGCTCCTTGTTATGCTGTCTCAAGCACTGTAAATAATCCCTCCCCCTCCTCCATATTATTACCTCTCAAATATTTATAGACTGTTATATCCACCCTTAGTCTCCTTTTCTACGAGCCATACATCATTTCTGTCACCCTTCCCTCTATCCTTTCAGATTTATCTATGTCCTTTTATAATGAGATGCTCAAAACTCTTCTGTGGTGTTCCCAAGTATGGCTAAGCCATCCCTGGAGAGAGGCAGACACAACCCCCTTGCTTAACAAGCAATGCCTTTTTGAAGAACTCTGAGCAAAAAGGCCTGTGATTTCTGTAGAAATAGAACATATCACAGCCATGGCCAGTGCACTGCTGAGTTCATTACAAAATGACATCAGAAATGAAAATAATCTGTTAGGGGAAAGCTTCACCCCAAACTGCAGAAGGTCTTCAGAGGTTTCCAGCCTGAGATTTCCATAACTTGGAAAACATCCGACAGGCAGAAGACAATCTCCAGAAATTGCTTTCCAACACAAAGCCCAACTTGTGCTTGTGTCAAAGCAAAACTGCTGATGTTCCTAAGCTCCCAAACATTATTCTTTTTCTCTCATTTTAACTATCATCTCAATGAGAAAAACTGGAGAAAAAGCAGATTGTTATGGATAAAAAAAAGTGTTAATCACAGGTAAAAGATGCTTTTTTTTTCCCGTATGTTAGAATCATATTATCATTTAGGCTGGAAAAGACCTTCAAGATCATCAAGTTCAACTGTGAGGAACAAAGGTAAAACATTCCAGCTGTTAACAATCTAATTAGAGATGTATCATGTTCAATCCCGCTCTTTCATTTGAACAGAGAGGTTCGCTGGCTATAGGAGAAGCTAGGTTAAAACACTAGGAAACAACTGATGGAGCTTCGTGACTCTCAGTATTGAAGGAGAGTCAGCAGAACCAGAGGGCAAACAGCAAATGCAACTGGTAAAGTACTGGCAGCATGTACAAGAGGAGAAAATGATAACTGGAAAGCAGTGAGACAGCAGTGACAAAGGGCACGGGGTGATGACTACTGCAGGCTCACCAAGACTTGCAGCCACCATGACAGACAAAGCAGCTAACATATTTCAGACTTCAATACACTGACTTAATAAGAAAAAAAGTAGGCATTTTGAAGATTCATAGAATAATTTAGCTTGGAAGGATCCTCTGGAGCTTCCTTCACAGTTGGATTATGTTGCTTAGGCATCATCCACTTCAGTCTCCACTACTCCAGGGTGGAGACTCCACAACCTCCCAAGCAACCTGTTTCCTCACTTGAGCACTCTTCATGGTGAAACGTTCATGGCACCTTCCTGATCTTGCTCATCAGTTGATCAAAATGAGACTTACTTGACGAAACTGAAATTCTGACTGCATGTAATGCTAACTATAATGACTTAAAGGGATTTTCTTTCAAAAATGAAATTTATTGTTTTTTTTTTAAAAAAAAAAACCATTATATCTATCAGACCATTATATCTTTCAATTATAACAGCTCATTTTTTCATCCTATTACTTAATACAGCACAACAATGACTAAAAGCCTGTAGCAGCAATGTTTGAAATCACAAGAATCATAAAAAAGGTCAATGAAAAACAGAATATCCAATTAGGTACAATCATGCTAAAAAGGTAACAGAAAAGCAAAGGAAGAGAAAAGAAGACAAATTATCAAGATAAAATCTCATCCATCCCTCAAAGAGTTTCAATATGAAGGGGGAAACTACATACAGCAAGGTAAGAAGAACACTATTTTGTTTCCATCATGCATAGTAAATGTAACAAAGGGAAATAACAAGTGCAGGGTTATTACTTGTATTTGCTGACAATACCTTTACCTGGTCAGCCAGTGATAGTACAAAGGCATGTAAACAATGTAAGCAAAGCCAACAGCAAACAGAGCCCTGCAGAACACAGAAGGAGGAGCAGGTATGTAGGAGCATACAGTAATTCTATCTATACTGAATGCTTCTAAATTAGGCAAATGAAAGCACAGGAAAAAAAAAAAGAAAAAAAAAAAAAGGACTATTTTCCAGAGCTCTCCATTACCTCTCCTGCAGCTATGCCATTTCACAGAGGCCAAACATGACTCTCTGCATGTGACCAAAAGGGAGGAAAGGTGCAAAGCTGCATGTCTCCTCCATTTAGTGTGCACAGCTCTCACCTGAATTTCCTCCATGAATGACCATGCTTTTCTCCTCCAGCGATTTCTAAATATTAAAATTGCAGAGATGGAAAACTAAACTGACACGGAACTAAGAAGGATCCAGGCTTAAAAACATTGCACTGAGACGTCTCGAGGGCACATTTTAAGTACTTTTCTACCACCTTTTCCTGAGGTTTCACACATTTGCTAGCCTAACCAAATACCACTGCCCTACAGGAGGAAAGACAATTGCTTTAGATGCCCTGCAATCACAACTTGTTGCCCTGTATAATTAAATAGCCATTGTTTTCAAACAACCTGTAACTCTTTTAGAGAAAACACACAGGAACTGCAAAATATATTTTCAGTCCAGCCACCCTACAGATGTCCAGATGGTTGCTATTTCTCCCGGGAAAAACAGGAAAAATAACAGGAGGAGTTTGCCCCTCCGGAGCAAGCACGGCTGCTGAGCCTCAGAAGGAAAATGGGCAAACCCCTATGTTACGACTATAATAATTCATTTTTCCTCCCTTAAAAAACAGCATGTCACAAAGGCATCTGAAAAACAGTCTCCGGCCTCTGCAGGTGCTGCAATATTTCTGATTTGCTGATAAAATGGATACAGTGAGGAAAGACTCTCTGCCTGGCACTATGTCTGATTTGTGTGACTCCTTCATACATTACTCCTCCAGCGGCAAACAGTGCTCTGCGTGGTGGACTTCAAAAGACAAACGACTCTTGTGAAGCCGAAAACTTACCCAAGGAAGAGAATTACCTCTGTCAAAATGATCTCTAACACATGTCATACAGGAACTGCAGCTCTCCCAGGAGCCCCAGACATTTCCTGGGCTGGCAGGGAGCTGCTAATTCCCACTGCAAAGAAAAGTTGGAGTCTGCCTGCGTTAATTACTGTCAGTTCTTACAAGATGCACACCTTACCCTATCAAACTGAGGCACTCTGAGAGGTGCTCTGACATGAGTGAGACCTGCCTCTCGTTTCTTTGGTGCTGTGTTAATTTAATTCAATATATGCAAATATGCAAATAACTCCCACTGCCCTTCCTCCATTCTCTGCTAAAGACTAGGCCTCTTGCTCTGCCTTCCCGCAGGGTACCAGTAAAATGACAGAACAGAATCATTAAGGTTGGAAAAGACTTCTCAGACTATCTAAATCCAATAGTTAACATTACTGGAAATGGCCTGTGGAGCAGGACACACATCCAGGTGCTGTGCTATTATCACTTAATGCAAGGCACTGACCCCTTCAGAAACATCTCCTTAGCTCAAAAGAATATTCACCTGTGTTATTAACATCCGCACAGATGATTAAAAATGAATTGCATTTCCTTTTTTTTATGTTCTTTTTTTTCTTTTCCTTTTTCTGCCTATCACAAAATCATTAAGAATGAATGGCCTCTAGGATCACCTAATCCAACAACAGCCTCTCCTCACTATGCCCACTAACCATGTCCCTCAGTGTCGTCAGTGGCACATCTCCACAGTTCTTGAACACTTCCAGGGGTGGTAACACCATCATCTCCCTGGGCAGCCCAGGAGATGCCTCACCACTCTTTTCAAGAAGAAATACAAACTGTCTATACAACAGAAGTCAACAATGTCGATGTCATTTTCTTGTATACTCAACTGCTCTACCTATCAGGCAGAAGTTCTGCAGAAAAAAAAAGGACTTGCCTGGAGTCAGTGCCTTTCAGTCCTGGTTGTGCTTAGGCATAGTTTTTACTACACCTGTGAACAAATGTAGCTTGTTTTTTGCCTGTTTTTGCAAAGGTCAAATGCAAAACAAAGAGGTGCAGTAGGGTGGAAGGACTGCCACCAGCCCACTGTGGCTCATTGCACCTGGCTGCATGGCTCTAGGGGACCCACACCTGATGGCAGCACCTTTACAGCTCCTGCACTACACTGGAAATCTGCAGCTCTGCAGACAAGCAGCCAGTGAATGAATGGTTGCCAGGACCGGCAGAAACAGAGGAGGAAATGTGTTTGGAGAGCAAAAACTCTTTGTGAATCACTACTTGCAGGTCCACACACCATGAAATTCAATGCAGTGCTGGTCTATTCTGAGCTAATTTTATTTTTCAAGTGAAAATAATGAAACATGATGGACAAACACTGGTTTCCTCCTTCCTGCTAGCTGCACCAGGCAGCATATGGAGAAGCAGTGCTGCCTGGGCAGCAAGGAGCAGTGGGCCCCTCACCAGTACTGACCTGGTGGTGCGCTTGCTGCTGCTGCTGCTGCTGCTGCTGTGCTCGTGGAGTGCACAGGGCTGCTGCTGTCCTGCAGGAGACAGGAGCTGTTGCTGCTGCTCTTCTTGACAACTGGCTCTGGGGCGCTGGGCAGGGGCACGGGATGGCTGATCCCCAGCTCCTCTTCCTGGGCTTGCTGCCTCCTCAGTGCAACCTGGGGATGAGAAAGCAGACATAGGGCTCAAGCAGTAATGGCAGCAAAGCAAGGCTCAAACCCAAGGCAGGGTTTTCTTCTCTGTACTTTACAGAGCTGACATCATGATCCAGCCAGTGGGTACGGGAAGAGAAAAGAGAACTTACAAAGCTATTTAAAACCCCTTTTCCATGCAAATACCTGTGAATGAACCCCTGAAATGCCGGGGCCACACATACAGTAAAGCTGACTGTATAGCTGCTTTTAGTTAGAGCTGTCACAAGCACCACACTCTGCTGATAAACAGCTCCCAGGGACAAGAGATGAGTCTGCTTTACTGTAAGGCAGTTCTTCATGAGGGCTTATCCATGCAACCTGGTGCTCCTCTAAAGCCTGCTGGGCTGCCTTGCAGCTCCCTGTTGGAAACCATGCACCCACAAAGACCTTGCTGGAGCAAAACAGGCTCTGGAGCAACAGCAGTGTCGGGGAAAAAGCAGGAACTGCTGCTACTGTGTGATGTGCATCAGTCCTCACTGGGACACTGCAAGATGGCTCTCTGCCTCCTTCCTGCCTCTGCTGCTCTGTATGTGCTGTACTCAGTAGACAACGAGGGCTCCCCAGCAGACCTCTGGGCAGCAAGGCAGTCCAGCATGGCTCTGCCCATGCCAAGCCCTAGCACACAGCCAAACAGCCTGCCTACAGCCACCTCGCTTCACCTTGCCACACGGCTGCTGGCCTCCACCTGCATCTGAATCCCAGCGGATCTGCCCCAGGCTGCAGGCTGCAACCACGGGCTCTTCTTCCAGAAGTTCTCCCGGATGAGTCCCCAGGATTCCCCTCTACCCCCTGGCCATTCTCAACAGCAACGCCATTCTAACACAGCCATGGTATACCACCAAAGAGAAATCAGCGACAGCTGGTGAAACACTTTCAGAGCAAAGCGTGTAGGTGTGCACACACTGCAGGACTCAGCCCCTCTCCTTGTTCTGACCCCACAAATCAAATCAACAGCCTTGACCTGCAGCATTCCTCTAGTGTGGAAGGACTGCTGCAGGGATACATCAGACGGAGTACATACAGGCAGTGTGGAGCCCACTCCAATACGGCTCAGTGAGGGAGGGACGGCCTCAGTGCCACCTCCCAACTAGGCAGGGAGCAGCAACCCAGATGTCACCTGCGTGGTCTGACAGCCCTGTGATCGTCTGATGAACAGTCCTGTGCAGGACGGGATGCAGCCTGCTTTGCTGCCAAACACCACGGGTTTGTCATTTAGGTTTAGGTGTGCCTGGCTACACACCGAGCCTCTCCACGCAACACGTGGGAAGTTTTGAAAACACTGTTTTAAAAACCTGCTTTTTAGAAATGAGCTCAACTAAAGCCACACAGGCTCAGGAAAAAATGGATGTACTGAATGCAAAAGCTGCAAGTGGAAGAGAGCTACTAATGTCTGGCTGACTAGGTTATTCTTTGGCTAAATGCAAGTTGTCTAGGAGGAGACAAAGCCCAATTTGACGTTAATTAGAACTTCTAGAACAGATTCACTTAGTGGAAGGTCACAAGCGCACTTCAGTTTCGGCCGCTTTTAAAGCAGAAGCACGGGCAGATGTTTTACAAGCACTGCCGGGTGCGTTCCGCTGCCGCTCGGATTGCAGAGGTGAAGCAGCCCGGCTGCAGCGTCGAGGACACCCGCGCGCAGACGGACAGCGAACGCTGCCCGAGCGCCTGCTTCCGTCGGGAAGGGCAGCGGCTCGCTCCGCCGGCGGCCCCGGCCCCGCTCCCCCCGGCCCCGCCGCGCGGCGCGGAGCCGCGGACGCTTCGGGCACCGCTCCGCCGCCCCGCTGACTCCCGTCTCACCTGCGCGGCCATCACCCGCTGCCGCTCGGCGATCAGGCTGCACTTCTTGCACTGGCAGTCCCGCCACATGCAGAACCGCTTGTGCCCCTTCAGCGGCGAGGAGTAGCCGTGGTTGCGGCACCGGGCGCACTTGGGCAGACGCGGCAGCTTCTTGCCCGCCGCCGGGACGGCCGCCATTTGGGCCGCCGCCTTGCCGAGGCCGCCCGCCTTGTCCCCCGGCCCGGCGCCGTCCGGGGGCTTGCTGACGGCCGGGGAGTCACCGGGCATGGCGGCCCGGCGAGGCTTCGGCGCGGCTCTGCCCGGCCTCGCCCCGTCCCGTCGCGTCCCGTCCCGCCACCCCCCGCGTTTTGGCGGGAGGCCGCAGCCCGGCCTCGCCCCTCCCGCCGCCGC